GTATTTTTTTGTAGTTTAAAGTGGAATACGTTTAAATTTAAATACTTTTATATAAAAATCATTACCCAATGGTGGAGGTTATAAAAAGTTCGCCCACGTTGATATTTTTATACCCTCCACCTTGGAAAGGAGGGTATATTAACTTTGTCATTCCGTTTGTAACATCCTTAAATATTCGTCTTAGACCCCATAAAGTATATATATTCATAATCAGCTTAAAACTCTAAGTCGATTTAACGATGTCCGTCTGTCTGTCTGTCTGTCCGTCTCTCTGTCTGTCTGTTGAAATCACGATACAGCCCACATTATTTGACGTAGAGCGCCAAAATTCAGCAGAGCTATTTGCATTGTGTCTAGGATGGTTGGTATTGAAAATGAGATATATCGGTCCACGTTCTGGTACTTCCCGATATTCGGTATTTTGATGATTTATGCCACATTTTTTCACGGATTTGTCTGGAAATTGGTATTTGTAGGTCATAAAAGGTCCCTGAGTGTGTGGCAAAATATTGCATCTATAGGTCCACGTTGTGGTATAGCCCCCATATTAAGGTACCTCCCGATATTCGGTATTTTAGTTTTTTTTTGCCACATTTTTCACGGATTTGTCTAAAAATTGGTATTTGTGGGTCATAATGGTTTCCAGCTCCGGTGGCGAAACATTGCATGGATGGGTCCATGATTTGGTATAGCCCCCATATAACGGTACCTCCCGATATTCGGTAATTTGATGATTTTGCCACATTTTTTCACTGATTTGTCTAAAAATTGGTATTTGTGGGTCATAATGGGTCCTAGTTCGTGTAGCGAAACATTGTAATTATAGGTCCACGTTTTGGTATAGCTCCTATATAACGGTACCTCCCGATATTCGGTAATTTGATGATTTTTGCCACATTTTTTCACTGATTATTCTAAAAATTGGTATTTGTGGGTCATAATGGGTCCTAGTTCGTGTAGCGAAACATTGTAATTATAGGTCCACGTTTTGGTATAGCTCCTATATAACGGTACCTCCCGATATTCGGTAATTTGATGATTTTGCCACATTTTTTCACTGATTTGTATAAAAATTGGTATTTGTGGGTCATAATGGGTCCTAGTTCGTGTAGCGAAACATTGTAATTATAGGTCCACGTTTTGGTATAGCTCCCATATAACGGTACCTCCCGATATTCGGTAATTTAATGGTTTTTGCCACATTTCTTCTAATGTTTCTTTTACCCTAAAGTGGAGGGTATTAAAAGTTTGGCACGACCGAACTTAATGTTTTTTTACTTGTTTGAATTATTATTTTTTTAAAAAAAGTCCAAAATTTTCTACATTGCCTTTTTTCAATAGAAGAAGACCCTCTTCTATAAAAGGCAATGTGGCCTTCTACTATTGAGGACCAAGGTGGTCTTCCTCTTTAGAAGTTCATTGAAGACTATAGAAGGCCAAGGTGGTATTCTTCTTTCGAAGACCATAGAAGACTATAGAAGATCAGGTTGATTTTCTTTTATGGAAGGCCAATTTGGTCTTCTTCTATAGGAAACAAATGTGGCCTTCTTCTATAGAAGACAAATGTGGCCTATAGAAGTCTTTTTCTATAAAAGACCAGGTGGTATTCTTCTATTTAGAAGACAAATGTGGTCTTCTTCCAATTAGCCTTTTGCCCTTGCATCTTCAATTGAAGTATATGGAGTTACCCATAGTGGATAATTTAGGAATAGTGGGCGTTCTGCATCGGACCAAAAGAATTTTACAATTCTACCGTAGCAAATTTAAAGCTTCATGTAAAAGACGAACATATGGATATCTAATAATTAATATTATATGTTTTTTCTATTGACGAAAAATTCTGTCTGTGGTATCTTTTGATTTAAGTCACTCTTCTTAAATTATTTACATTTAAAATTTAATTGCAATAATTTCCGTCTCATAATTCATTCAAATATTTGTAACATGAAGATGAGTTAATTCTGGTTAAATGATGTTCTTCCTTACATAAAAGTATTGAAATATATTAACACCCTTTATTCAGATCGGATTAATATATGTTCAATATATGTGTGTTAATACACATGTGTCGTGTGTACACAAACATGCATATGCTCCATGGCAACAAAGATTTGTTTCTGTGTAAGTAAATTATGTGTGTGGTGACGTGATTAACCGAACTCGTTGAGTGTTTCAGTAATTTGTTCAAAAAAAAGCAAGGAAAATGTGTGAATTGCAGAAACCCTTCAACTACAATTTGCTACCGCGTAAATGAGATTCTATCTGTCCTAATTAACAATACCAACCAACACGGAAACCATAAAATGCAGGCAAATAATATATACTTATTGTTGCCATGACCAGAGTATCTTGCTTCATAAACACCCACGAATGCTATTTCCAAGAAGGAGAAGGATACAGAAGTATAAAAAATTAATAAATGTTAAATAAATTTAAAATTTTTATTTCATAATTATTTTCGTCCAATATACCGCCATAATTGTCGTAGTTAAGCTGGTATGCATACCCAGCCGGTGTGGTCAGGAGAGCTTCGTGGCGGACAATAATAGCAGTGCATAAAATAACAACAAACAATAACTTCATTGTATTTAATGACGGCGAAAATCCCATTTAGATCCCAACTTTATGCTCGGGCCAGTCGGTAGCTGGCTCATACATTTTCAATTCAACAACATCAGATAAGTGGCTTAAAACTGTTGTCCCTAATGAGGTTTAAGGAACATCAAAGCAGCAACAACCTGTTCGTAATACGATTAAAACATAACTAACAACTTCTTAACACAGTCGAACATTTTAATGCCTTTGGAAGAGGGTGGTTACCTTGTCGGGGATTATTTATTTCGTTCACATTTCGGGGAGTTTCATACCACACTTTTTCTTCGGGGGAATGAAATTAAAGAGATCAAGCGGATTAGTTTAGTTCATGGCAGATTGACATAATAATACTGATTGAAAGTAAGACGAACACAATTGCGGTTTCTGGTAAATTGCGTTATAGCTTAACATTTGAAAAGTGAACAGATTGAAAGATTTATATTTTGGTGCGGCGAAAAATTAACCTTACAAAGATTTTTATTGTAGCTGCTCGTACTGCTTCTTCAGGCCTCTTACTTCCTCTTATCGTGAGATTGGGGTGGGATAAGTAGTGTTTTAGGAGGTGCAGCGTTTCATGCAGACTAGTGACCCATGCCAGATAGGAGTTCCAAATACTAGAAATACGTTTGCTATCGAATTTCTGTTGCGCTGTATGCCTGATGATCCATTTGTATTCCTAGACCCTACATATCAATAATGTACGGGGTACAGCATATTTATATGTAGCTCTCATACAGGTTGAGATAAAAAAATGCAACAAAGTCAAACGCCATAATTTTTACATTTTTTTTTTTAACTTTATTGAATGAAAACAAAAAAAGTCGAAAATAGCATCAAATTTTAGAATTAGAAACGGCCACTGCAACCGTCACACGCTGTCCGAATGTTGCTCTTCGATATTTTGGCCCATTCCCGGCGAAGCGTTTACTTGTGTTGATCGACACTTTGTTATTTTTTAGTACCTACGTTGCTTTCCAAAATACTCCAGACACAATAGTCCAACGGGTTGGTATCCGGAGATTTTGGTGGCCATTGTGAGTTGAAATGAAGCGATGGTGCTGAGTTGTGTTGTAATGTCCAAGGTCTGCGTTCAAAATGTTTGCGTGTCTAAGACTTAAATATAACCTCCAGAATATTTTCGCAATAATATTCGACATCTAATGCCACGGTCGATTAATACGAGCGGAGAAAGACCATCGGCTGTTATGGCGGCCCACCCATCACCATGACCGACGCTTGAATTCTGCTGGCCAATCGAAGGGACACATTTTCAGCTGACCTTTTTGGCATGAAACACGATCATTTTGTTTGTTTACAAACTGCTGGACAACGAATGTTTTCTCATCGGCCAAGCGAAGCAATTTTAAGCTCTTTTGAGTCTATTTTCTTTCTGTTGCGGTGTTAGTTCTGGCACTTCTTGGAATGTTAATGGCTTTACCCCGAGCTCATTTTTTCAATATTTGCCGAATGGAATATTGCGATATGTTGAGCTCACGAGCCATTTTTCGGCCACTGCGACGCGGCTTTCGATCAAGTCGCTTCTTTACTTTTGAACTATTTCTGCTGTTTTCTTCCAGTATCACGGTAAAGAGCGATGGTACGAGACACTTGTGGTTTTCCAGGCGAATATAAAGAAATCATACAATCGCGTTTGAATACCATCACGAATGATTTTTTTTTCTGGAAAATTCTGACCAAAATGCTTTTGTACGCTTGTAAACAATATAATGAACTGTCACTGGAATAATTTTAACAGCTGTCGGACCAGTGGCTTAGAAATGACAGCAGTCTGAAGTTGGTTGCAGTTTTTTCATCTCACCCTGTAGCTATATCCAAATCTGAACCGATCTCAATAAAAAACGTATTTCTGATATCGTTGAAACGGAGTGCATGAACAATACATATGGGGGCATGTTTCTAAGTTCAATTTGGTTATGTGGGCCAAATTTCATCCTATTTGGACTAATATACCAAGTAAAATGCAAATCGGCCAAATATATTTATATGGGAGAGTTACCTATATTTTGACCGATTATCGTCCTTGGAGCAAAATTTTTTCGTGATCAGTCATGAAATGCGACTTTGTTTACAAAAATACATGGACAGGCGGACAGACAGAAGGAAATCGGCTCAGAATGTGATTCTATGCAGATCATCAAAAGGAACAATGGGTCTAACTCGCTTCCTTCTCTATGTTACAAACAAATGCGCAAAGGCGTAATACCCCGACCACAATGTGGTAGGGTATAAATAGATAGTCTTGAAATGGGCTAAATCCTCACGAAATTGCATAGAGTTGGGGTTAAGATCAAAGAAATGGACAAAAAACAGAAAATGTGAAGATTTTGAATTTCGCAAGGTGGAGGGTTTAGGAATGGACAGAAGATCAGCAATTTAAATGGTAATCGAATAATATTTAGCGTTTAAAATAGACCATAACTTTTTTTGTAAATGATACAAAAATGTCAATAAAAGCGTAATTTTTTTAAATTTCAGCCAAATCACATATACACGAAAATGTCACTTCTGACCGTTACATTGATGCTGTTATACAAATGCTATGAACATTTTCATGACCTGGTGGTTGCTGTCAATAGCAAAGATAACACTTTTGCAGAATTATGTGACACTATTTCATGTGAATTTTGTTATTCAAAATTCTGACCCCTTTGGAGAAGGAGTGGACCAATATTGCCCAACTCCGAACTCGATCTTAAATTGAAAATCATTAAATAATGTACCAAGTTTGGATCTGAGATTGGCTGAGTGTAAAATACCGGTACAATGACTCCTATATTAAATTTAAAATATACTTGATTCTAAACAAATTCCAAAGTCTCTCCCCCTCTCCATTAAATCACATTGCACACATTGGGAGGAAACTCGACGTACCAACAATTTTTAAATTTGACCCCTTGCAAGTACTTAATATCTCACATGTGTGCTTTCTATTGTTGGTCTATAAGTAGGTCAATGACTTCCAACTAAGCTGAAAGCCAACAAACTTATGTATTTACCTTTTGGCTTCAGCTAGAAGTGTGGTTGTTTGTTCTTTCTTCTAATTTCCCCTGCCATGTGCTAAAAAAAAAAAACGGCAACTGTGCGACTAAGAGTGCGTAAAATTCAAGTGTGCCAAAAAGTTTTCATTCAGTTCAAATGAAAGTTGTTTCACATGCAAATTTGCCTTTAAAGTTTTAATGAATGTCAGTAAAACTAAAGATAGCAAATATTTGCAATTTAGTTTACGTTTAGTTTTTTCGCTACTATTTACTTCATTTTTATCACATTTTTTGTGTACTACCAACATCGGCAAAAAATAAAAAAAAAAAACTTTAATAAAACTCCGTTGTAAATTGTATAAATATTTTAATATTGCACAGGTGTGGAAAATGTTTCGGCGGTGGCGTTTTGTTTTTTATGCGATGTTTGTTTTAAGTTCACGGCAGTATAACCATGCTACTTAAGCTAAATAAAAAGATTAAAAAAGGAAGAACGAAAGCGAGCCGTTACAAACTGTTTCACATTTTATATGTCAGCTGTCTTTCTTCACATGTTCGCAGCAAAAAAACAAAAATATGAGAGATTTCATGTTAGTTCTTGGGGGAAATAATGAAAATAGAAAACACAAAATCGAAGGTTGTCGACACATTGGATAATTGAACGGGACACGTTGAGGTTAATCTAAGTTTTATTTTAAACTATTGAAATAGTAACAGATGTATAAATGTTTCTGAAATTGACATTTCTTGTGGAGAGTAGGATTGTGATATAGAAGAAGTTTTCGAAATGTGTACTTATATTCAAGAAAAATACTAAATGGAGCTGGAATTCTGAAATTTGGAAATAAGATTACTATTGCATTGTAGGACTGAGGAATGTAGGTGGTTCTGGAAATGCGTACTTAATGGTACTAAATTGTGTACAATCGGGTAAACCAATATAGCTGGTATCCTGAAATTTGGAAATAGGATTTCTGTCGAAGTGTAGGATTGGGATATAAAGGTAATTTGGGAAATATGAACTTATATGTACTAAAATGCACTTAATTTGCTACAGTTTAAATTTTTGGAGAACAGAATTCCATTAGAATGTATGATAAAGGTGGTTATGGAAATTTGTACTTAATTTGGTTAAATTTGGATGAACCACTAGAGTTGGAATTCTCAAATTTAGAATTAAGATTACTCTGGGAGTGTAGGATTCGGATATGGAGCTCGAGAGGTACTGAATGTTACTAAATTTGGTATTGCGTGAAGGAATGCTACTTGAAATATGAAATTTGGTGTCACCAAAAAATGTTAGTGGTACTAAATTTTCTAATTGGGGAAGGGATTATGTTGGAGTCTACATTTTGGCATTGGGATGATCTTTTGTGCAGTTTGGTTGATACAAAAGAGTTTTAAACAAGTTAAAAAGCAGAAAGATCGGCTGGGCCGAACTTTGAATACGCTCCACTACTTGGAACGTATTTGGACATTTTTCAAAAATTAAATCCGTTAAAAATTCTGTTAAAATTTTAAAATACCGGGGTCTATACGACGTACACCTATATTTACATTGTTTGTTATAAGCCATTACCATATTATGTAGCATCTTCAAAATACCGTATAAAGGGAGGCACCGTTATACCGGAGTCATACGAAAACCTGAACCTGCATAGACAATTTTCTGTCACAGGCTGTAGCATCCATTGCGAACTTCAAATACGAGATCTCAAAAAATTTCGGTGAGTATTGTACCCAAACTCGTCAAAATACAGAATATAGGGAGGTACTGCTGTATGGGGCCTATACGAAGACTTGGACCTGCATAAAAATGTTTGTGTCACAGAATTTAGTTCCCATTACGAACGTAATTTGAAATCCGTTATATGGGGGCTACACGAAGACGTGGACCTGCACAGACAATTTTTTGTCTTAGGCTGTAGTATCCATTTCGAACTTCAAATACCAAATTTGAAAAACAATTCCGGTGAATAATGTCGCTAAATTCATCAAAATACCAAATATCGGAAGGTACCGTTATATGGGGGCTATATGAAAACGTGGACCTATTTGACCCATTTTCGAACTTAACCTGTCTACTGGCAAAATAAACATGTGCATAGCGTGATTACAACAGACAGAGGGACATCGCTAAATCGACTTTGTTGGGTCTGACATAAGTATCTCGAGGAGTTACAAACGGAATGACAAAGTTAATGTACCCTCCATAGAATAGAGCATGATATAACAAGTAAGAAAAACGTTAAGTTCGGCCGGGCCAAACTTTTAATACCCTCCACCTTAGGGTAAAAGAAACATTAGAAGAAATGTGGCAACAACCATTAAAATGCCGAGTATCGGGAGGTAACGTTATATGGGGGCTACACCAAATCATAGACGCATACATGCAATGTTTCGCCACCGGAGCTGGAACCCATTATGACCAACGAATACCAATTTTCAGACAAATCCGTGAAAAAATGTTGCAAAAATCATCAAATTAACGAATATCGGGAGGTACCGTTATATGGGGGCTATACCAAATCATGGACCCATACATGCAATGTTTCGCCACCGGAGCTGGAAACCATTATGACCCACAAATACCAATTTTTAGACAAATCCGTGAAAATGTGTGGCAAAAAAACTAAAATACCGAGGTATCGGGAGGTACCTTTATATGGGGGCTATACCACAACGTGGACCTATACATGCAATGTTTTGCCACACATTCAGGGACCCGTTATGACCTACAAATACCAATTTCCAGACAAATCCGTAAAAAAATGTGGCATAAATCATCAAAATACCGAATATCGGGAGGTACCGTTTTATGGGGACTATACCAGAACGTGGACCGATACCAACCATCCTATACCCAATGCAAATAGCTCTGCTAAATTTTGGCGCTCTACGTCAAATAATGTGGGCTGTATCGTGATTTCAACAGACAGACAGACGGACAGACGGACAGACAGACAGACAGACGGACAGACAGACGGACATCGTTAAATCGACTTAGAATTTTATGCTGATTATGAATATATATACTTTATGGGGTCTAAGACGAATATTTAAGGATGTTACAAACGGAATGTCACAGTTGATATACCCTCCATAGAATGGTGCAGGCTATAAAAATGCTAACAATACGTGTGCCAAAAGTACTAAAATGCACTAAATTTGGTACCAATTGGAATTTTGTATTGGGTGAAGGGATAGGCCTGGAAATCCGAAATTTGAGTTTGAGTTCTCTGTTGGTATCAGGGATTGCTATATGGAATGCTGGTATCTGGAATCGAGATATGGAAGTGGTTTTGGAAATATGAACTATAATTGTTCGAAAAGTACTAAATGGTACTAATTTTGGATTTGGTGTCTAGAATGTAGAGATGTAGATATGGAATGAGTATTAAAATTGTTTGAAAAGTACTACATATTACTAACGGTGAACGAAAAAAGCTGTTCCCTGTTGGCGAAAGGATTGTGAAAAAGAGGAACTAAAAGTGCACGAAAAGTACTAAAGAGTACTATATTTGGTACAATGTGGTATTGGGGAATAGATAGTACTTAAACTCTGAAATTTTGCCTTAGCTGTTCATGTTTAGCCTGGACATATGGAGGTTGTTTCGGAAATAGTACTAAATTTGGTTTTGACATAAGTAAGGGATAGAGATAAAGTTCAGAAATTTGATATTTAGAATACTGATGGTATTTGCGTGGGAGATATGGCGGTGGTTTGGAAACGCATCTAAATGGGAAAAATACTAAATGGTACTAAATTTGGTATTTGGTGCAGATAGAGCTGAAATCCTGAAATTTGATATAGATGTCACTATTGGTGTTTGTGGTTAAAATATGAAGGTGGTTTTGAAAATTTGTACTTGTTCGGAAAGTACTAAATTTAACTAATTTTGGATGAGTGTTGGTGTCTAGTATGGAGAGATATAAATTGTTTTGGATGTGCGTACTAAATGTTATTAAATTTGGTATTGGGTGAAGGAATAGAGCTGCAATTCTGTCGCTGTTAGTGTCTTAGGGCTTACATATGGCAAAAATGGATGTGGGACCATTGTGCAATTGTTTTAATATCCTTATCGATGAACTAAAAAATGAGAGATCTTGAAGACATTTTGGTGTAAAAGATAAACATGTTCTCTTTTTCTTTCCGAAAAAATGAAAAACTTGAGTAATATATAAAAATTTAAGTCTGAAAATTTAGAGCGATGTATGATAATTTGATTGAAAAATTTTGTCAGAATTAACAAAATGTGAATTTTGAGTATTGGAACGACCTAACTCACACTCTTGGAACGAATCTAAAATTTTAAGGTGGACTTTTCGCTGACAAAGTACCAGACACTTGCTAGTCTATATATTGAAGAAACTTGGTTACTACGTCTATTACGAGTGGAATTCATATTCCAAATGATATCAACTGTTCTCTAACCATACCATAACACAGAATATTTTTGGGCCTGATATTTTGAAGGAATGCGTTTGATTTAACTTCTTACGTTTTAAGTCAATTAAATGTGATTTCAAAATGTATAGGAATGACCCATATATGTGTTCTTTATTAACATATATCCTAAAATTTGTTTATATCATATACAACCGACATAGAAACTATTATCAACATATGGGAGTACATACATACATATAACACGAAAAACCGGGAACGTTATACAGTTTGGCCACTTTTAGTGGTTGAGCCTGTTAGTGTGTGTGTGTGTGGGTTTGCTTTGTGCTTTTTTGTGTGACAATACGGTATGTGTGCTTGCATGCTACACAC